TAACGGTGCGGTGGCTTTCAATAGGCGTTTCATTCATTGGTTTCCTATTGAAATGAGAGACTCGTTGAGAGACACGCGACTCAACAGAATAACTCAAAACACATTATACCATACTTTTAGATATACATTATTTGAAGTGATCTTATTGTCATATCATAGGATACAATCACTCCATTATATGGTCTAATCCTTGTTATTTCAAACATTCATTTTTATACATTGATTCAACATTTAATTATCATAAATATAAACACATTTTAATTTTATTCTCTAATTTGATTTACACTTTTTAAAGACGAAAATATAATTAAACAGAAAATCTTTATAAACAAAACATGTTCAACTTTGGAATTTGATGATTAAGTTTATAGAATTGCTGCATTTGATGGTACAAACGTATTACCGTATCGATTCTTGATTACTGTGTATCTTAAATTTTGTTCAAAAATAAAACGCCGTTTGCCATATAGTTTGCATAATTATTATTAGGTTACCAAACATCTAGAATTTTATATAATTTTGGGTGAAGTAATATAGAAATTAAAATATCAGAAATAACCACTATAGTCATTACATCTAAAAAATTTACTATTAAGATAAAATTAACCATTTCGCGACTACTACTTTCTATTTAATTGTATATTTAGATAATATAAAATAAAGTAGTGTAACGACAATTAATCTGTTCTGTTATTAATTGACAATTAATAATTGTATACCATTTTCGACGACAAAATTTATCATAAAAATAGCCTATTTTAATGATTACTTAAAATACGATTAAAATCTAAATTGGTTTCAGTTATTACAAAATGTTATCTTCTTTATAAGTTAATGTTTATAAAATTATTTATTAAAATTCTAACTAATTTGTTATTTTTAATCATTTACTAATAATTGTAATTTTAAGTAATAATTATTGTTATTTGTTGCCAGCAAATCCTTTTTAGACAATATTGCAAGGATTTCATTATTAAAATAGTATTATTTGTTAACTATATTTGACAATAAAATGACAATTAATAAGTATTTTTGTACAATTGAAGCAAAATAAGTGAAATATATTTGTAGTGAAAAGCTATTAGAGAGTCGATCGATGAGATGTAAACCAATGGTTTAGTTGATTGGATGTTTGCTTCCTTTGGCGAGCGTTTAGCTCCTCCTCATCACCACTGGATTTGCTGCTGGTTTTGACATTCACTGGTAATGAGAATCGTATAAAATAATGACTTAAGTAAATGCAATCTATTCTTCTGGTGCTGTCATAAACACAAAACACTAGTATTGAACTTAACTGCCAATACAGTACTGTTGGACAACATGATCAGAATATAGGCACTGATTCTACTGCACATATATAACACACATTCGGTAAAGTTGTTGAGCAGTACTGTTCCCAACATATCATAAATAGCTTTCATTTCTATAACTATCGGCTTTGGATCTAATTTTGAAAATAATTTCGTTTAACACTAGCACTCACTTCACTCCTGCCTCTGGGTATTCGAGATTGAGATGTCATCTCCAGAAGGATTGTCGTCCTCTGTTTCGGACCCCTTCGTTGAATATGTGTTCCCATCTGTATTTGAAGAACGCCATACATCTCATACTTCTTGTTGTGAACAAAATTACAATCAACTAAATAATAATAATAATAATAATAAGTGTTCATCGACTCAACGCATTCCTGGCTTACAATCCAATCGCGAATATCATATTCAGTCAGATCTGAGAAATAGCTATCACTCCTCTGAAGGTAAGAATTAGTAAAGTGTTGGCAAATATAACTCATTATTATTTTGTATTCCCAATATGAAAGTCACTGAAGGTATTCATTGTGTTCAATCACTTTCGAAATAATTCTTATAAAGATATTCACAAATATTATTATTGTACTAATTGTTAAACAAAATTTGCAAAAAGATTTGTCCCATAATGTCGACGAATCAAAGCTTTTTGAGACCGATTTGGAGGCATGCGGTGGAAGTGGAACTGAAATAGCGGGTCACGGATACTACTTTCTACACCACAATTGTAAGTGATTTTTACATATTTGACACATTTATAAATCAAATACAGTATTGGGAAAGCAGTCAGTTATCAACGGAATATGCTTTTATAAAAGTATAATTTAAAAGCATTTTAATAAATAGAATATTTTCAAGAATATATGTTAATTAAAATATACAAAAACTGATGAATTAATTAAAATTAAAAGTTATGAAAGGAAACTTATATTTCTAATGACTACATAATTACTAACTTTAAACAATGAAATAATTAACATATTTAGACAGTTAGAAAGATTCAGTTGAGAGAGAGAGAGAGAGAGAGAATGGAGTTGAATGAGTGATCTTAACATCTGATGCAAACTCTCGAGTAATCCATTGAATTAAAGCTAATCAATGGTGACCTCAATGTTAGCTTTAAGACGAGAGAGAGAGAAAGAGAGAGAGAGAGAGAGAGAGAGAGAGAGAGAGCTATGGCGTGAATCTAATGGCAAAACCTAACAGACAATTGCCTTATAAGCAAAAGAATGGAAAGAAATTACTTAAAGATTGATTCGATGACAAAACCCCTTATCTCTCATCTATTCTTCTCAAATCATTTCACTCTTCCTATTAGTCAACAATTTATTTGATTTTTTTCATTCATTTATTTTAATTCAATTAAATGTTACCACAAATCATATGATAAAACAATACCATAGAGAGAGAGAGAGAGAGAGAGAGAGAGAGAGAGACTTTAAAGTATTAATTGCTGGTAAGTTGTGGTCAAACATAAAAAGAGGAGAATAAGTTGTTATATTACATTAATTTTTTATAATATTCTTAACGAATAGTTTGCAAATCAATGGATAACTAATAGAAACGTTAATCTGATATGTGTTGTATTGATGGCCTCTGCGATGGCTCCCAAACATTGTTCCACTTTTGAAGCAAATGAACGTTTTTTGACTAAAACTAACATTTGAAGCGCTTATCAGTTATTGTTTCAAATTCATTGCATAATATGTTTGAATGAAAACTAGATTTTTATCAAATGATTGTCAATGAAAGCAAGTGAATAGTTAGTGAAATTAGTATTCAATTGTTTCAAATAAGTTAGAGACCAATAAGGAGTCCATCGCAAGGGCTCCTGTTGTCTGAATTGAATTGTGAGCCAAAAAACCCCCAAACCTTGCAGACAATGGACATTGCGATGAGTCCTTCAATAGTGGATATAAAGCAATGATTGGTCCTCCGGGAGGGTATCCATCGCACGGGCCATACAAAGTGCAACGTAATGCAGCTAACATTCGGGAACGCAAAAGGATGCTCAGCATCAACAGCGCCTTTGAAGAGCTCAGAGTACATGTGCCCACTTTCCCATTCGAAAAACGGTTGGTCACCCTATCATTATTAGCTTTCATATTAATAGCATTATTAATTAAATGTTATATTGAAACTACTTATTGACGCAAAATATAGTTTAATATTAGCAAAAAACATAAAAATTGATACAAGATTACTTAACACTACAATATTTTGCAATAGAGATTATACATAAACATAATTTGCTTCATTTTCTGCTCATTTAAACAAAACTTACGCTTAAATGAACTTAAATTAAAAGACATGAATATTAAATTTGGGATTAATTAATAAAAGGCTGTCCAAAATCGATACATTGAGACTCGCGATCGCTTACATAGCGTTACTTAAGGAGATATTGGCGTCAGAATACGATCCGATCACTTATATTGAGAAGTGTCTGAAAGGAGAGATCAAAGGAGAACACACTCACGAGTGGAATACTAGCGGTTTGTTTATTTGGCCACAAAAATGGTAACAATATTTAAACGCATTTTCGTGTCAACAGATCTAACGGCAAGACTTTCGTGGATTAATTGGGAGAACTTAGGCGTGAATCCAAACCGAAGAAATATAGGTTCACTCTCTCCTTTCACCAGAGCGTCGAGTCTTCAACACAACGATATGTCCGGCGCTCCTCTCTATCAGTTCTCAGACCGCAATATTCAGTGAACTATTCAACACATCTTTCATTCAAACATGTATTCCATCACATGTTTGCATCACATCTCTGATTATGCCAAATAATGCATGTCTTATCATTACAAATACAATTGCAATGGATCTTTAGCTTCATGTAACTTCTAGTCTACTGTAAATTCTAGTCAACAAAGAAAGTGTGTAATTGTTTGATGTTTTACATAATTTACACAATATTGGATTTCGTTCACAGAACGAGAATATTGTAATTTATTTTGTAAACTAGAAATTGTGATTAAAATGAAATTGATTGAAAAGAATGTGATTATATCAAAAAACTTATTTATAAACAGAGTATTCAAATATACTCTACAGTATAGTACTTATAATGGGTTGAATAGCTTATGGCGCAAAGCAAATGATTTGTGAATAAATGCAATAAAAGTTGTTAACTATTAGCGATTCAATTGAATTGAATAATCCAGTGGTGAGTAAAGCAATACCTATGCTTTGATTACTGCCTGTTGACAGTATTGGCCGATCGCATGGGTTGTTAAGTCCCTAACAAAGACACGTGCCTTTAAATCTGTAATTCAGAAGGAGCTCATCCTTATAGCCATTGCCAACAATTCAGTGAATATTGAATAGCAAGCGGTCGGAAGCGAAGCCTATATGTCACACATCCACAGCCTATACCGTACACAATGCCTAACGCATAGCCTTATGCATAGCCGGGCACTCATTGCACGTGTAGTTTGAAGGGAATGCCAGTCGCGTGTCATTAAAACATTTGTATAGATTGGGAGCTCTTGTAGTGCCGGTGGTGTCAGACCATCGATGAGACAAATCATTAGTCGGACACAATTGTTACGCTTTACGTCATTATAAGCGCTCTGGGATTCAATGCCTTTCCGTTTTTTTGCCGAAAGCTTTCTTTTATTCGCAACTTTGGATAATATTTTGTGGTTTTTGTAAAACCGATTCAAAATATAAATATTTGCCAAAATAAAGTTCATTAAAGAGTGCGATAACTGTTAGCTCTTTGGGAGATGTTATTCCGTCTATAAATAGCATTTCAATCGGTATTAATAGAAACTTCTCCTCAAATGCCTAATTTTAGAGCCAACGGAAACCAAACACTTATTTTGCACACAATTATATAACCATTGCTGACGTGATGTAACAAATAGTCTAACAAACAAATATGTTTAGAGTCTTATCTCATGTTGGCGTCAATAGTGTACCGAAAGCTGAGAAATATTTGCATAATATATGATGAGATGTTTACTGAAAACGCTTTTCTCACACTTTTTGCATCGCTTTCAATCCACACAAAGACTTACATAATTGATAAGTGAATCAAACATAACTGTATTACAAATTACAACTCTTTTGAGATATCATTTCATATTAAGTGATGGATAGAAGAATGAGTGAATCGGATGAGAATCGTTTGCCGGGACTGTACGGCAACACTGCCCTCAGTTCACGGATAACACAATTTCAGGAAAAGGCGGATCAGCACAAAGAGAAACAGAAATTGAATCCTTTCTCGGGATCCTTCGACGCCGTGTCAGCCGCTAAACAGAAGCTCAATAAAGAGGATTCCAAGTAAGTGTCCACTCATTTAGGGCTTTATTGAATAAAATCGCTTCATTGCTATAAGTTATGGCCGACCGGTTGAGGGCAGCAAAACGGAACAGAGGGGCAAACAGGCGGCGCAACTGCTCTTCAATGAGATCAAGTTGTTGTGTGAGATAATAAAGAAACACGGGGTGGATGCGGGTGAGGGACGCACTACTATGACATTTAAGGAGTTGTTCGAACTCTATAAAGTCATCTCTAATAAAGTGGTCGGTCTTCTCATAAGAGCCCGAAAGCACCGTTTGGTTGACTTCGAGGGAGAAATGCTATATCAGGGAAGGGATGACAAGATTGTCATCACTTTATTGCGAGAACTCCACGAGAAAGACATCGAAGAGTTCGCAAAAACCAAAGAATAACACATTTTCCACTAACAATTCGATTAACTTTTATTGACATTAATTATAATAATATTTATAACTTTTTTTTTTTGTTGCTTTTGTGTTTATAATTTATATTATTTGCAATGTTTTACAAAATAAAAAATAATTAAATAAAATGAAGTCCTAAACGAAAAATGCTGTGATTTTTAACAAATGGTTTCGTCTTTTTTGGTTAAATATATAATTAAATAAAAGGAGAATTTAAATCAAATCCGGAAAAAGTTCAGAAAAAGTTTGATCCAAAGTGACATCCGATGAGTCAATCATTCTATTGTCTAATGAGTGAATCGGTGGCGAAGGAACCGATTCATAGCCAGAATCGCTGCCACAGGAGAGAGGGCTCATTGGGTTTGGAATGTAATCATTATTACCATAATTGTTGTCAATTATATCAAACGAATCGCAATTACTATCCATCGAATCGGTTGCCAATTGTGTGGCCTTAAAGTACAAATGGTCATCGATGGCCATTTTATTGCGAGAACTCCACGAGAAAGACATCGAAGAGTTCGCAAAAACCAAAGAATAACACATTTTCCACTAACAATTCGATTAACTTTTATTGACATTAATTATAATAATATTTATAACTTTTTTTGTTTGCTTTTGTGTTTATAATTTATATTATTTGCAATGTTTTACAAAATAAAAAATAATTAAATAAAATGAAGTCCTAAACGAAAAAATGCTGTGATTTTTAACAAATGGTTCGTCTTTTTTGGTTAAATATATAATTAAATAAAAGAGAATTTAAATCAAATCCGGAAAAAGTTCAGAAAAAGTTTGATCCAAAGTGACATCCGATGAGTCAATCATTTGATTGTCTAATGAGTGAATCGGTGGCGAAGGAACCGATTCATAGCCAGAATCGCTGCCACAGGAGAGAGGGCTGTAACCCAAACCTTACATTAGTAATAATGGTATTAACAACAGTTAATATAGTTTGCTTAGCGTTAATGATAGGTAGCTTAGCCAACGGTTAACACACCGGAATTTCATGTTTACCAGTAGCTACCGGTTCAAGTCTTGAGTTGATCCCACATGTGATGGCTGGTGGTTATCAACGGCTTGTATTTGATCGCTTGTCTGCAATTGTATGNCGGTTGCCAATTGTGTGGCCTTAAAGTACAAATGGTCATCGATGGCCATCAAGTCTTGAGTTGATCCCACATGTGATGGCTGGTGGTTATCAACGGCTTGTATTTGATCGCTTGTCTGCAATTGTATGCCTTTTGGGTCAGTGTCTGAATCGAGCAGTTCTTCTGAATACATGTGGAGAACATCGAGTAAAGCATCGGATTCTTTGTGATCAGCCAACAGACGAATAGCGTCATCAATGGCTGTGCACTCACTCTCGATGACTGAGTGACGGGACGTGAAACCTGTTCCTGCGGCTGAGGATCACTAATGAGTTCTGCGGACTCAAGGGTTTCATTCCAATCATTCAAGTCATCCATTGCTTCCCTTTTTACCGATGGCTTCGACTCCAAGAGACCGAGTCTTCTCTTGAGTTCAATGTTCTGCTTCTCAAGCGATTCATTGCTTTGTTTCAGTTTTTTGTTTTGAATCAGTAATGCGTTTCTCTAACCAATCAAATAACAAATCGTTTATATATTCATGTAATTTAATCATCAATTCATTGATGGCAGACCTGTTTGGCCACAATAATGGCCTCCCTTTCCAAGTCATTCATTTTGACTTTCTTGCGGTCGCGCGCGCTCTGCGCTGCCATTCGGTTCTTCAGCTTTCTGTCATCATTGAGACAAACAATACATTACTATATAATCAGTCATCTCTTACAATGTCTTAGGCTATCCATAACTTTCACTCTTTTGGATCAAATCAAACTATAGTCCCTTTCGATGCCATTCACTAATATCTCATTGTATTCTCAATTATCCAATGATTAAAACTCTTAAGAGTGGGAATCGATGGATGCAATGGTATATAAAGTGGTGCAATGGCTAACATATGGTGAGTGAGCACATCCAGGGCCACAACACGCCCACCATTTGTGCCCACAATGCTATCAAAGCTATCAATGGTAGGACAGATGCATTACCTCCTCATGAGTTTCTCTTCGTGTGACAAGTGGTCGAGTCGTTGGCGCTTTCGTTTGGGTTTCGACGACTGGATCAGCTCTTCGTCCGTCAGTTCGCAAACGTATTCAATGTTTGCCATCACTGTTGCCATTGTTGTGATGTCGCGATCGCTTCCCAATCACTGATGTCTGCAATACTAATGATTATGAAAAACACAATCAATTGATTGAAAGTGTGTTTGAATTGTGTTTAATATATCGTTAGTATTGAGTGATTGAGTGACTGAACGGACAGTCAATACATCCAACTCTCGATGATATGGCGTTTATTACGTCGACAACTAATTCAGTGTTCGTTTCCAACCATTAATGACATATATTTTCCCAATATTTCACTTCCATTTGCACTCAAAACGTATGCAAACTTCGGAAACATTGGGAATATTATATTCCTTTCCCTTTAATAGTAGACAAACTCTCCTATAGTTTACGTAATACTCAATGCATTTGTTTTAATGCTTTGAAAAACATTCACTTTCTGTTCACAACACGTAATAACTGTTCAAAACGTGACGTAATTTATGCGTGAATTCAATGCAAACAAATGGCAGCAAAAAGTGTTGACTATTTTGAAAGTGAAGACAATTTAATAGACAATTAAAACATACAATCAATACATATATTGCGAGCAATGCTTCCCTCAAATCACAATCAATTCAATTCATTTCAAGCGATGATAATGTCTTCGGGACAGTCGTCCGCACCGCCGATGCCGTCGATGCCATTCAACGCACCGCTAATGCCGTTCCCATTCGGGCCGCCGATCGCCGCCCCAACGGCTCCGACCGCTTCCAACCCTTCCATCACTTCAGCCGCCAATTGGGCTGAGTTTAAGTCACCGGACGGCAGGACTTATTACTACAACAATGCGACCAAACAGTCGTCTTGGGATAAACCCGAAGACCTGAAGACCGAAACCGAGAAACTGTTGGCCAACTGTCAGTGGAAGGAATACAAGACCGAAGACGGAAGGGTTTACTATCACAACATTGTCACCAAACAGTCGATGTGGACAATCCCTCCCGAGTTGGACGAACTCAAGGCCAAGATTGCCAGCGAAGAGGCCAAAGCCTCGACCAACGGATTGCCGGTCCCGCCATCGGAACCGATGTCCAAATCGCCCAATCAATCGCTGCCAACCACTCCTCAGTTGACACCCATTCAGACAATGACTCCGACGATAACCATTCCTTCGACTCCACCGCAAGAGTTGCCACCGAAGAGGGAAACGCCTCCCGAACCGAGTGCTGACCGAACACCTGATTCGCAGACCAGTAGCGATGGCAAAGCGGACAGCAGTCCAAACGACTTACCACTTCCCGCCTCTATTCTCGTTCCGACGGAGACTAAAGACATTTCAGAAGTATTTAAAGATCTATTAAAAGAGAAGAACGTGTCTTCGACTGCCAGTTGGGAACACGCCCTCAAACTAATAGGTTCTGACCATCGGTTTGAACGGTTCCGAAGCCATCCCGAGAGGAAGCAATTCTTCAACGCATATAAAGTGCAAAAAGCGAAGGAAGAGAAGGAGGAGCAGAGGATTCGCGCCAAACGGGCCAAAGAAAATCTGGAAAAGTTTTTGCACACAACCGATAAAATCACTTCTTTGACAAAATATAGGACCGCTATTGAGTCGCTCAGAGACGTCGACATATGGAAAGGGGTTCCCGATATCGA